CATGTAGTCTGGTCCCATGCCATTGAGTGATTTACACTACTATACTAGTAGGAGCACTTTGAAATCGATTCTGTAGTTACTGGTAACCTGTGTAGAGATCTAAGAACAGGAGGGATGTGCTCGGCTCTCTTGGTTCTTATTAAGACCGTAGCAGCAGCATTTTAGCAGCAGCTTTAGATTAAATTGAAAAGTGAACAGAGCTGGCTCACTATTTAGCAGGAAACTAGTGAGTTTTGTGTCTTTCTCAACCTTAAACCACCGCACAGGAAATGAAACTGGGAAACAGACACAGAGGACACAACATGACATGATCTAGAGCATAACTCCCGTATCTTTTTTTCCCAAGGCTCTTTGTCCTGTCTGCCCACAGAGCGCTTCTCTGCATTTCTTCTGAAAAACCCTATTTTTAACCATGGATTTGATAAACTGGTCGTTCAATGCAATCGATAAGATTTTTTCAACAATGAGAATGGAGCAGGGGGCTCCCACATGTCCACAGGGGACACACCCGGTGGGGTATATGCTGGATTCCTGGAGGGAATGGAAGATCATATGCCTCTCCCAGCTGTCCATTGAGGATGTCGAAGAGGTGTGGATATTCAGCCTGATGATCACTGGATTTCTCCTGATTGGAGTGGGAGGATATCTGGTTTTCTGGAAATTTGGGAAGACAGGAGCGATTGGAGGGTGACCCGCACCCACGGAAAGCACCGTCCGTGTGGATACCTTACAGACTGGGACGTTAATCGAGGTGAATCGTAAGCTGGACAACGTTCTAGCTGCGATACCAGTATTGGTGCGCAAAATGGAAGTCATCTCGGAGAGAGTCACCAGACGGTATGGACAAGTTTAAAAACACAAAACTGGCTTCACTGAAGGACTGGAAATGATCAGTTTAAAGACTGAAGGCAGAGAGGAAAATTATCTCAGCCTGACCCAAACAAAATCTTGTTATCTGAATCTGACGCCCTGGTAGCCTTGAGCGGCTACAAACAAACCCCCACAAAGGAATGCAGACAGATGCTGTGAAAACCCTCCCCCCCCCTCCCCCCCCCGCGCCTTCGGATTGGTGGACTTCAGCGTGGTGAAGTCATCAACCTGCAGGAGTCAATGTGCTCTGCGCTTCTCCGAAGATCTCGCTGGGGGAAACAGGATCCCCCCCCCCCCCCCCCCCCCCGCCTTCCTATTGGAGTCTCATGTTGTGTTGTCTGAAGTCTGTCCCTATGGAAGGTAACTCTGAAGTGCCTTTTTTTCCCTCCACCTGAACCAATCCTCATGTAACCCTCTTACCTCTATTAAGGTAGCGCGACTCAGGGTTGCAAATGACCACAGTCACCAATTCTTGTCATGTGTCTTGCCCATGTATGTCTGATCTCTGAATTGTGTGTACTGAAACTCTAATTTCCCTCTGGGATTAATAAAGTATCTTTGATTTGATTTGATTTGATAACTCCACTGTGATGCAACGTTTTGGATCACTGACTTGGATCTAAATCAGTATCTCTAAAAACCCAAATTTTAGTTTGGCTTGGTGTTATTCTTGTCATAAAAGTTGAGAAGAGATGTGGACCGTTTTCTAATCAAATAAGAAGAGAAAACCAACCTAATACGAAGACTTTTCTGAACCACTGAGACAAACCGACACCAGCCAACGTGAGAGACCTGGACTCCTACAGGTCACGTCTCCAGACCCCATTCTCCTCCTGACATCTGCATCACGGCTCTATCATCCCCAAAATGGTTTCAAGATGTTCCTTTTGGAAGAACCGAAGAGTGGTGTGGATCAGCTGAAGGTAAGAAAAACAAAATGATTTAGTGTTTTAATACACGTGTCAGACACATAGCAACACCTCGGAACAGCGTCTGCTGTGGCTGTGATTTAAGACCAGAACAGACAAAGCTGAAGAATAAGAGGATTAAACACAAGAGGGCAACAGTTCACCAGGAACTCCTCATATCAACTCACACTTTATGGAAAACAGACTCACTGATCTCAGAGTTAACTGTGTTTTTGGTCTGAGACGTGTTCTGAGGGACAGATCCATGGCTGACACTGGGAGATTATGGGATACCTCTCGGTCAGCGTGCTGCCACTCCAAGCATGCTCAAAGCTGCACCACAGCCAGAGGAGCTAGTTTAAAGTCCAAAGGCCTGGATTTCCACTTGTCCCAGTTTTACGACTCTGTAGCAATAAGCAGTCAGTGGAGCCTTTTCCTTGTTTTTATCCTAATTGGAGAAGCATCAGTGAGCACCAGAGCCTAAAGAGTGTATGCTTTGTGTTGTTACGTACCTTCTCCTTGCAGACCCAGATGACCTGGGCTTATATCAGAACAACAGTGTGAATAATTATTGAAAATAAGACCAGATAGATGGAATCTAGCCAAACTATGAAATCATGGGCTCCTCTTTGGTACATCACCCTGCTCATTATTTGAAGTCATGCTTGGAAAACAGGTGTTTCTAATACTGGCTCTGTGTCTCCACAGCCCCTTCCTTTTCTGATGCAGGGTCAGATATGATATTTCACGCTCGGAGCTGTGCACAAGATAGGAAGTGACTGGGGAGCGCTGCTCAGAAGACATCCATGTAATGGATGCTGATTGGTCCTGGCTGAATCCCTGGAGTGTCAGCAACAAGGGGGGAACCACAATGCTGGTTTAGGCCTGATCCTAAATGCATACCCCCCACTTCCTGGAGGTTTCAATGATTACAGAGGATTTCTCTGTCTTTTTAAACAGGTGCCACATTTTCATGCACCAAGCACACAGCAGTGCAGCTGATTGCACAAGACCTTGAATCTTTATTCTTGTGTTAAACAGAACCAGCAGGGAGGAAAATTGGTCTGTTTCTGGGCCTTTTTCATCTCACTCTAGTTTATGATTGATGCATTGCATCAGGGTTTGAAGCCCGAGCCTGTAATGTGGATTAGAGCAGATGTGAGTGTGCTCCTCGATGTGCAGTGTCACTGGCCTTGAGGCTGACCAACCAGGTGGAGCAGCTTCCAGAGCTACAACGCAGCCAACTGCACCTGTGAAAAAACAGAAGGCACATTTGACTCAAGATCGCCAAGAGGACAACCTGGTGACCAAGGTCCAAGCCACCTATAATGGGAAGTGATGTCAGCTCAAAATGATCATACAATCACATTCTAGGAAAAGCTGTTTCCAGGCAAGGTTTTAGAACAGATACTTGAGGCACTGGTCCATGAATGACTTATGATAAAACAAAGTACTCAGGACTCTAAATCACCACCTCTGGAATCATCACCTACCATGATCAATAGTCTTGATGGGAATGAAATGCAGGTCCTAATACGGTCAGTAACATTAACTTGTAAAGGATTTCAGTTCTAGAACACCAACATGTTTTGAGCCGAGGACCAAAGATACATCCGTCCAATCACGCTACAGTGATGTCAGACCTCCACGACTTCAACCAAAGAGCAGAAGAGTTCATCATCCGCTGCAGGGGTCTTACACCAAATCAAATCCAATTGATTGATTGACTTAATTCCTGATATTTGGATATCTCACCTCTGATTGGCTAACAGCAACGCCACCCTTCCACTGACTCCATTTGCTTTAGAATGTTGATATTTTATCTCCACAAATAACACAAGCCTGGAGAAGTTCTGCCGTGTGGTGGAGATGCTAATGCTAATGGATAGCTTCTAGTAGCTTTCCCCGTCACAAGCCAGGAGCGGTGAGTCCATGAACGCTAATTTTCAATGGGATGTAGCTCTGAGTGGCTTTTCTCATCTGTGCATTTGCCTGCTTGTCCTCTACTGCAGCCGGTGCAGGAAGTTGAGACAGAAGCAGGGTTCCTATTACACAGTCTTCCCAGGAAGCCACATGAGAATGTAACGAGGGGGGATATGTGGCATTGCCTATCACGCTTTTAGGGGAGCCGAGCTCCCCTTAGCTCCCCCATAATTTGAACCTTGGGTAGAAGACCATTTTAGCATGCATGGTAAACTCAGAGTGACTGATCAGTAAAGTAAAATGGTTTATGAGTGAACTTGGCCTTAAAGCACTTGCGTCTTAGGGTGACGGTGGCACAGGAGTGAAGTGCTCGCCCCGTAATCAGAAGGTTGTGGGTTTGAGCCCCGCTCGGTCTGTCTCTGTCATTGGGCAAGACTCTTAACCCCCCTTGCCTGCTGGTAGTGGTCAGAAGGACCGGTGGTGCCTGTGTTCGGCAGACTCGGCTCTGTCAGTGCCCCAGGGCAGCTGTGGCTACAATGTAGCTCATAACCACCAGGGTGTGAATGACTGTGTTGTAAAGAACTTTGGGGGTTCCAGGAATCTAGAAGGCGCTATATCAGATACAGACCATTAACCATAAAGCACTTACATCTTGGGTAAGTACTGATAAATTGGTAATAGGATGAAGAAAATATCCAGAATCTGCAATGAAGGACCTGATTATTATGGGTATCTGTCACACCTGCACTATGAGGATTCTGCACCTGGCACATGTTCGATTTACGCTCCACCATGGAGATGGTTTCTCATACAGTTTAGGCTCGTCACTGTCATAGAGGTGGGACATCACTTACAAACCAGCTCAGTGGCCTGGTGGTATGAGTGTCCGCCTTGAGACTGGGAGGTTGTGGGTTCAAATCCACTGTTGGGTTATCCCAAAGACTTTAAAAATGGGGCCCAATGCCTCCCCGCTTGACACTCAGCATTAAGGGGTTGAATTGGGGGGGTTGAACCACCAAATAGTTGCTGAGCACGGCCGTGTCTGCCGCTCACTGCTCCCCCAGGGGATGGGTCAAATATGAAGAACAAATTTCACCATAACATCAGTGTGTGTGACAGCTAATGAGACTTGTATGAGGTGACCTGTGTTCACATTACATTAATTATAAAAATAAAGTTATAAATCAATAAATAGTCACCAAAACTGAAGACAATTTGTCTTTTTTATGAAGTAAAATGTTTATTTTTGGGTTTTGCGTGCTTGGCACTCATATTTACATTTATTTTAAAACACCTCCATAAAGAAAAAGAATGACTTTATTTCCTTTTTTCACTCATTTTTAATAACACATTGGGTGGTAAAATTGCTATATTGCCCAACACTTAAATACACATCTGTAATACACACCACAACACAATGTACTCTTTTATGCTATTGCTTACGTTTAAACTTTTCACACAACTTTTGAAGCTTATGTTATTGATGCATTCACCATCTCATATATACTTGAAAACAAAATTCACTCAAATATAGAGAAGCCCTTTACGTCCACGAGGAAAACACAAACGAGGATGCATGCTGGAGGACCCGTTTCCTCGGCTGGGCTCTGCAGCTAAAACATCCTGATTCCTCTCTTTCCCTCCAGCCCAAAGCTCAGACCGCCGCAGCACGACACCGAGTCTCGCTCATTTCTAAACCTAAAAGTGCTGGATGGAGCAGAAATCTGTGGATCACAGTGGAAGTTGTTTTGGTTACAGACGGCAGGAAGACCAGATGGCCTTTGAGTCTCTGAAAGAGTCACCTAAAGCGGCTCTCTGTTATTGCACCGTAATGTTTCACGTCCTTCAGAACCAGAACCAGAACCAGTTCGTCCCTTTGAGCTGAGTTTGTTGTTTCTTAGCTACCAGAAGCTAAGTGTCGAGCCACGGACCAAAGGGTTGTCTTCATTAACACACAGAGACTTAAATAGTAGTGTCAACCTTCTCTATCTCTTGGCACCTTAACGTGTAAAATACTGGTTCAAGCTCAGCATCAGGCCTTTTTGGTTTGAGTTTCCATTTTCACCTGAAAGGCTCGAGCAACATGGAGCCTAGTGAGGTTCTGTCACTGTTCCTACACCATGTGCATGGACATCTGAGAGGAGGAGCCATACTGACGTCCATCACAGGAGCTGCTGCCCTGCTGGCCACCGGTGGCATTGCTGATCATGTGCATAGTGTCCATGCTTCCATTGGACAGGTACTGGCGCTCAGGGAAGGCCCCTGCTGGAGTGGGGGAGCACAGCAGCCCTGACTGAGGCTTCTCAGGGCTGGCAGCCAGGCGAGGGGAGGCGGGGAAGTTGTATCCGTACAGGTTGTAGGGGTTGTGAAGGGAGAATGCGTTGTAAGAACCTTGCTGGACGTGGTGGTGGCTGCCACTGAACATGTGAGCAGAGGAAGGGGTGGATCCTGCTGAGGATGATGATGCAGAGCTGGAGCTGCCACCGGCCTGCATCACATACTGAAGCTGAGAGGTGGGGAAAGAGCCCAGCTGGCCGCTGTAGGCATCCATCTTTCCAGCGGCGCTGCTGCCACTTCCACTACTGGTCAAAGAGGCATGAGCACCGCTCTGCATGCCCGCAGCGATCAGTGAGGAAGTCCTCTGTGGCAAGAAGGATTCAGAGGTCTGAGCTGAGGCCACAGCGCCTCCTGCAGACTGGAGGCGTCCGTAGGAAGCGTCAGCCAGGCCGCCGTAGCCCTGCAGCGCCGCCATGTTGCTGCGAGCACAGGCTGGGTACTCCGACAAGCTCAGGTTGCAGAGTTGACTTTCTCTGCAGCCCACATTGAAGGTGTTTGGGGCCAGGTGGAAGGCTGGGGGGGAGCAGGAGGGGGAGAGGAGGTGTGCCGCACCAGATGGAGAAGGAGTTCCTGTACTGGATGTGGTGGGAGACGTCCCAGTGCTGCCACCTGGAAAACATAAACAAGGTGTCACATGTTGATAACCCTACCCTACCTCTGCTGTGCATTTGACTCGTTTCACAAAGTCATTGATCTTTTTATGCATTTTAGAGACTAATGATCTCTGGTGACCTCACGTTGGCGGATTTTACTCATGGGAACAGTTTAAGACGTCTCCTAACGTGCTCCTGATGTAATAACCCATGTTCATCTACTCCAGCAGGAGCCCTACAGCAGACTAATGAAGCTAACTGAACATCCACTCAATGCACCTGTTGCCAGTTAAAGATATAACTTTGTGATCAACTTTTGAGATCCTCTCCATAGACTAACTCCAGACTTTACTCTGAACCGGTGCTGGGCATGACATCATGTGCAGTTCTGTAAAATATATGGCTGCAATATGGAGAAATATTCAGTTTCGAGTGTGTTTTCATCGTTCGGCTCCTCAGAGCTGTGCCATATCCACCAGTGAAAGTGAGGCAATAGCAGAAGGATATCAATCACATGCTTCTCCATTAATGAGACTTTGGCAAACGTTCCTTCTGCTGTTGGACAACTGCAGCTTCAAACGACGCGAGGAGCTGAATAATCCAAGGCTTGCTTGGCTCAAGTTCTGATTTTGCACCACATGCATTGGATAAAATCACTCCGCTGGGCTCAAGGAGACTGGAAGGGAACGAGTGAAACACTGAAAATAAGACAGAGGAATAGTTTGGTGATGTCATGTTTTCCTCTGGTCTGAGGAGTTTGAGGTGCTTCAGCAAAGGAAGAGTAGCTGATTACTCAAAGGGAAGAAGATGTGTGGTTCCAAAGGGGCGGAACTGCACAAAGTTACACAAAAACACACCGGCAGGCAGTTCACGGTGACAAAGAGTTCACTAGCTTATTTTAATTAAATCTTAATTACCGCCGAGCAGATTTAGGATGACAAACAGATGTTAGCCTGATGAGACGGTCTAAAGCAGGGGTGTCAAATATGCGGCCCTCGGGCCGGATCCAGCCCGCAAGCGGGTTAAATCCGGCCCACGAGATGGTTGTGTAAACTTTATTTTCATACTTTACAATGTAGAGAGAAAATAAACTTATCTTTGTGAGCAAGTTTTCTCTGTAATGAGTATAAATAAAACACAGCTGCGCTCAAGGCTCACACAAGAACTTGAATCACATCCTGAAGTTGGCCGCCACTCAGGATGTGACTCCTGATATTGATGTGCCGGTGAAAGCTAAAAGATGTAAAGTAAAATGAGTCAAATATACTTTAAGTGCTGCATGAAACTGATCTAGCCATGTGATCTGTAAGCGCTGAATCACTAAGGAATGTGTTTTTATTTATTGATTTTGTATTTTTTTTTTATTTTCAAGTACACTTCAGGTGTACTTGTACTACACTGTCCTCAGGCTCGAGCCTTGTTTTATATTGATTGTATTAAAACAAAGAAAACAATCTGAAGTTGTTTTTAATTTACCGGTCTGGCCCACTTGGGACTAGATTTCCCTCAATGTGGCCCCTGAGCTAAAATGAGTTTGACACCTCTGGTCTAAAGCATCACGTCATGGTGACTGAGGGGAAACCACAGGGAGGTCATTTCTTACAAGCCATGATCAACATGTGTCGTCAGCACAGGAGGCAAGACAAGGAGAGGCGGCGCGGCTGACGCCGACTCCAAAAAGCCTGAGAGTGACGGAAAAGTTCAGCAGATGCATGCAGACCTGCCAGGAGCTGGTTTTATTGCCCCGCTCAAGTGAAGGACAGGCGTAGCTGATGTGTGGTGTTCTGATGTATGCTGAGAGGGTTCAGGCTGGGGCAGCGGGTTCATACGGAGCGCCAAATGTAAAGGAATACGCATAAAACATTAAAGACTAAAATCTAAATGTTTGGTTTAATAGAAGCAGCCAACTCCTCCTTGAACCGTCACCTTATCGTGGTGGAGGAGTTTGAGTGCCCTAATGATCCTAGGAGCTATGTTGTCTGAGGCACTTAGTGCCCATGGTAGGGTCTCCCATGACAAATTGGTCTTAGGTGAAGGGTGAGACAAAGAACGGTTCGAAGGATCTTTCATGGCGGTTAAAACGAAGAGTCGGAGTACCCGGCCCGGAGGGTTACCGGGGTCCCACCCTGGAGCCAGGCCTGGGGTTGGGGCCCGTGAGCGAGCGCCTGGTGGCCGGGCTTTCGCCCATGGGGCCCGGCCGGGCCCAGCCCGAACCGGATACATGGGCTCGTCCAACTGTGGACCCACCACCCGCAGGAGGAACAGGAAGGGTCCGGTGCAATGTGAATCGGGTGGCAGACCAAGGCGGGAGCCTTGGCGGTCCAATCCCCGGACAAGAAAACTAGTTTTTGGGACATGGAACGTCACCTCGCTGGCGGGGAAGGAGCCGGAGCTTGTGGCAGAGGTTGAGCGGTACCGGCTAGATATAGTCGGACTCACCTCGACACATTGCATTGGCTCTGGAACCCGAGACCTGGAGAGGGGTTGGACACTCTACTTTGCTGGAGTTGCTCCGGGTGAGAGGCGGAGGGCTGGGGTTGGCTTTTTGTTAGCCCCGAGACTCTCTGCCTGTGTGTTGGGGTTTACCCCGGGGGACAAGAGGGTAGCTTCCTTGCGCCTTCGGGTCGGGGAACGGGTCCTGACTGTTGTTTGTGCTTATGGGCCAAATATCAGTTCAGAGTACCCACCCTTTTTGGAGTCCCTGGGACGAGTGCTAGATAGTGCTCCATCAGGGGACTCCATTGTCCTGCTGGGGGACTTCAATGCTCACGTGGGCAATGACAGCTTGACCTGGAGGGGTGTGATTGGGAGGAACGGCCCACCTGATCAGAACTCGAGCGGTGTTTTGTTATTGGACTTCTGTGCAAGCCGCAGTTTGGCCATAACGAACACCATGTTCGAACATAAGGATGCCCACCGGTACACTTGGTACCAGGGCAGCCTAGGTCACAGGTCGATGATAGATTTTGTAGTCGTATCATCTGACCTGCGGCCGTATGTTTTGGACACCCGAGTGAAGAGGGGGCGGAGCTGTCAACTGATCACCACCTGGTGGTGAGTTGGATCAGATGGCAAGGGAACATGCCGCGTAGACCTGGCAGACCCAAACGCATAGTGAGGGTCTGCTGGGAACGCCTGGCAGAAGAACCTGTCAAGACGGTCTTCAACTCCCACCTCCGGCAGAGCTTTGACCACGTCCCGAGAGCAGTGGGGGACATTGAGTCCGAGTGGGCCTTGTTCCACTCTGCGATTGTCGAGGCGGCTGTTGCTAGCTGTGGTCGAAAGGTGGCCGGTGCCAGTCGTGGTGGCAACCCCCGTACCCGCTGGTGGACACCAGAGGTTCGGGGAGCCGTCAGGCTGAAGAAGGAGGCCTACAGGGCGTGGCTGGTCTGTGGGTCTCCGGAGGCAGCAGACAGGTACCTGATAGCCAAGCGGGGTGCAGCAGTGGCAGTTGCCGAGGCAAAATCTCGGGCGTGGGAGGAGTTTGGTGAGGCCATGGAGAAAGACTATCGATCGGCTCCAAAGAGGTTCTGGCAAACTGTCCGGCGCCTCAGGAGAGGAAGGCAGCAACTCGCTCACACTGTTTACAGTGGGGATGGGGAGCTGCTGACGTCAACTGAGGCTATAGTCGGACGGTGGAAGGAATACTTTGAGGAGCTCCTCAATCCCACCAATGCGCATTCCGAGGAGGAACCAGAGCTGGGAGGCCTGGGGATGGACTGTCCGATCTCGGGGGCAGAAGTTGCTGAGGTAGTCAAACAACTACACAGCGGCGGAGCCCCGTGGGCGGATGAGGTTCGTCCTGGGTATCTCAAGGCTATGGATGTTGTAGGGCTGTCATGGTTGACACGTCTCTACAACATTGCGTGGTCATCGGGGGCAGTTCCTAGGGAGTGGCAGACCGGGGTGGTGGTCCCCATCTTTAAGAAGGGTGACCTGAGGGTGTGTTCCAACTATAGGGGGATCACACTCCTCAGCCTCCCTGGAAAGGTCTACTCCAAGGTACTGGAGAGGAGGGTCCGATCGATAGTTGAATCTCAGATAGAGGAGGAGCAATGTGGTTTTCGTCCTGGCCGTGGAACTGTGGACCAGCTCCATACCCTTGCAAGGGTGATGGAGGGGGCATGGGAGTTTGCCCAACCAATCCACATGTGCTTTGTGGATTTGGAGAAGGCTTATGACCGTGTCCCCAGGGGCACCCTGTGGGGGACGCTCCAGGAGTATGGGGTGGGTGGCTTTCTGTTAAGGGCCATTCAGTCCCTTTACCAGAGGAGCGTGAGTTTGGTCCGCATAGCCGGTAGTAAGTCGGACCTGTTCCCAGTGAGGGTTGGACTCCGCCAGGGCTGCCCTTTGTCACCGGTTCTGTTCATCACTTTTATGGACAGAATTTCTAGACGCAGCCGTGGTGTGGAGTGTGTCGAGTTTGGTGGCAGGAGAATCTCGTCTCTGCTTTTTGCGGATGATGTGGTCCTCCTAGCTTCATCCAGCTCTGACCTTCAGCTCTTGCTGGGTAGGTTCGCGGCCGAATGTGAAGCGGCTGGGATGAGGATCAGCACCTCCAAATCTGAGACCATGGTTCTCGACCGGAAAAGGGTGGCTTGCCACCTCCGGGTCGGGGGAGAGGTCCTACCTCAAGTGGAGGAGTTTAAGTATCTCGGGGTCTTGTTCACGAGTGAGGGTAGGAGGGATCGGGAGATCGACAGGCGGATTGGTTCGGCGTCTGCAGTGATGCGGACGCTGAGCCGATCTGTCGTGGGGAAGAGGGAGCTGAGCCAGAAAGCCAGGCTCTCGATTTACCGGTCGATCTACGTCCCAATCCTCACCTATGGTCATGAGCTTTGGGTAATGACCGAAAGAACGAGATCACGGATACAAGCGGCCGAAATGAGTTTCCTCCGTAGGGTGGCCGGGCTCAGCCTTAGAGATAGGGTGAGGAGCTCGGACATTCGGGAGGGACTCGGAGTAGAACCGCTGCTCCTCCGGATCGAAAGGAGCCAGTTGAGGTGGTTTGGGCATCTGGTCAGGATGCCTCCTGGACGCCTCCCCGGGGAGGTGTTTCGGGCATGTCCTGCCGGCAGAAGGCCCCCGGGTCGACCCAGGACACGTTGGAGAGGTTACATCTCCAATCTGGTCCGGGAACGCCTTGGGGTCCTGCCGGAGGAGCTGGTGGACAAGGCCGGGGAGAGGACGGCCTGGAGCTCCCTAGTTGGGATGCTGCCCCCGCGACCCGGACCCGGATAAGCGGAGGAAGACGAGACGAGACGAGACGAGAAGCAGCCAATTAAACTGTCTGATCGATGAAGAAATCTATATAAAGGCTTAAGTAAGATCTGGGAGATCAATAAAACTTAAAAAAATAAATAAAAAAACAGATGGCAACTGGCCAAATGACTCGTCATCACAGGTGCTCTGAGATGTTAGTAAATGACTTTTTTTGTTTGGCATCACTTCTTTTGTTGTCCTGATGAGTAAAAACATTGTAGCTCATCCCGTAGATCTCAGTCTTTAAAATAAAGATGTTTTTGTTGCATTTTTAGAGCTACCGTTGGTCGCCCATCTGTTTCTGCTTGGAGCTAAGAGATCACACCAGAGGTGTGACCAAGTCACTGCTTTGCAAGTCTCAAGTAAGTCACAAGTCTTTCCAGTCAAGTCTCGAGTCAAGTCCAAGTCAAAGACAACCAAGTCCAACTTGAGTCCAAAGTCAATGAAGTGGAAGTCCAAGTCAAGTCCAAGTCCTTAACTTTGAATTTTCATGTCATAACCAAGTCATTTGTCCAACTTCAATTTAATGACAATGATAATAAATAAATTCCTGGAAAAAAAGCTTCTTAAAGCTTCGTTTATTTGCTCAAACAAGCAGAAAGTGCAACTGAAACTGATAATAAACAAAGAGCTGCTGCATTTAGCAGTAAATCAAACCCAGAATGAATAATGATTTATGATTTTTGTCCATGTCATGCCACTTTTGTGCTAAAATATCAAATATGCTCAAGTCATCATCAAGTCAACAGATGCAAGTCGATTCAAGCCGCAAGTCATTGGTGTTCAAGTACAAGTCAAGTTGTAAGTCTTTATAGATTTTATCAAATCAAGTCAGAAGTTATTAAAATAATGGCTCGAGCCCACACCTCTGGATCACACTAAACATGACAGGAAATTGCAGGTCAGTGACTCAATGCAATTTGCTGGGTTTTCTTAGATGGGAAACATTTAACTAATTGGAATAAGGAACTAAACTCAATGCACTGATGAGTAGGTTCAATTGTAAAGTGTCTTGAGACGACTCTCGAGATTTGGCACTATATAAATAAAGTGAACTGAATTGAATATAATCAAGTTGAGTGAAATAGAATAGATTAGAACTGAACTGAATTGAATTAAATTGAACTGAATCAAATGGATTGAATCGAGCTGAATTAAATTATATCGAATTGAACTAAATTGAACCGAATTGAATTGATTAAATAGAGTTGAGTTACATTAAATAGAACTGAACTGAATTGAACTGAAATGAATTGTTTGAATCAAGTTGAGTTGAGTGTAATTGAATTGAATTGAGCTGAACTGAATTGATTGAATCGAGTTGAGTTAAATTATATCAGTTTGAACTAAATTGAACCAAATTGAATTGAATTGACTGAATAGAGATGAGTTAAATTTAATAAAACTGAACTGAATTGAACCGAATTGAACTGAAATGAAATGAATTGTTTGAATCAAGTTGAGTTGAGTGTAATTGAATTGAATTGAGCTGAACTGAATTGATTGAATCGAGTTGAGTTAAATTATATCAGTTTGAACTAAACTGAACCGAATTGAATTGTATTGACTGAATAGAGATGAGTTAAATTTAATAAAACTGAACTGAATTGAACCGAATTGAAACTGAACTGAATGGTTTGAATCAAGTTGAGTTGAGTGTAATTGAATTGAATTGAGCTGAGTTGAACTGAATTCAACTGGACTGAACTGAATTTAATAAAGTTGAATTAAATTGATATGAACTGAATTGAACCAAATTGAACTGAACTGAATGGTTTGAATCAAGTTGAGTTGAGTGTAATTGAATTGAATTGAGCTGAGTTGAATTGAATTGAACTGGACTGAATTTAATAAAGTTGAATTAAATTGATGTGAACTGAATTTAATTGAATTGAACTGAACTGAATGGTTTGAATCAAGTTGAGTTGAGTAATTGAATTGAATTGAGCTGAGCTGAATTGATTTGAACTGAACTGAATTTAATAAAGTTGAATTAAATTGATATGAACTGAATTGAATTGAATTGAATTGTGCTGAATTGAGTTTAACTGAAATCAATTGAATTCAGCAGAACTTAAATGAAGTCAGACAACAAGCTAGCATTGGTGGAGACAAACTGAGGCATCGTGCATCCACATACCTTGTTGCTTCTGCATGTTGGTGAAATCTTCGAATGTCAGGGTTCTCACCGGAGGTCTCCAGAAAGCGTAGGTCTCCATGATGGCCTCCAGGCCGGTTCTGGCAGGGAGAAACGAGAAGACAGGCCCAGAGTTTTATCATAATAAACCACACTAGAACAAAAGTTAACCCTGTATGTGAATAATTACATGATGGGAGAAGGAATTTAATTATTAGAGACGAGTCATTTTTCTTGCTGTTGTGTTGCTCAGCGCCTTCAGGGGTTGTAGGCAACTAAAAGGCCATTTACCATTTTTTTTACCATAAAAAGTATGCTAAAATTATTGAGTTTATAAAACGTAGCTGAAAAGGTTTTACAGAGTTTTTACAGATATTTATGTTCATTCACTGGAGCATCGGATACTTTAAATAACTGGGTTTGTTACTGGACTACATGCACACATGTTATATATGAAAAAAAGCAAAGATCAGTTGAATCCAGAGGAGAACGATGCCGTTAACGAGAAGATTATTAGCAAACGTCTGAGTGAGAGAGAGAGGCGAGAAGCTGGAGTCTGGTTGGAGGAAACTGGAACCATTAAAAGGAGGAAGTTCTTTACTGCGCACATAAATCTGAGGTGACATTTCATCTTGAATCTGTACATGGTTCTCCGTCCTGCTTGATTTACTTCCCTCTCTGCTCAGCTTCTTCCCAGAGAAGCCAGTGCCCACCACTGCTCCCAGTGTTATTTCACGCCTGCTGCCTTCCAGAAAGTGGCGGCTTGTTAGTGAGCTTCACTAGTCCGCCCAGCCTTCGCCATCACTGCATCATTCATATGGCTGCACCCCTCCTCCACGCCATTACTGCCATCAGGTCTGTATCAGGGTGCAACAGTTAGAAAGAGGTTTGTGTTTAATGAGGAAAAGAGTCGGGTGGAATTTTTACTTAATGGCTTCGTTTTGAACAAAAGTCATAAAATTATGAGTTTTTTTTCCTTGTTTTTATGATAATTCAACAAGTTTCTGTTTTTTTATTTTGACTTTTAGTGCAGGAACTTTTAGAGAGTTATTAAAATGAGCTTTATTCTGTGAGTGAATCACTGGTGAATGCAACAGAATAGTCAAACTGTCTGAAACGGACAGACACAATCAGAATATTTATGCCAAAACAGCAGCATTAAAATCAGCTTTTAGTCTTGTTGTTCTGTAAATGGATAAAAAAAGACAGATAATAAACAATCCTCAGCATAAGGCTGACAGTGACAGGGGTCATTTTAGGTAACAAGTTACTTTCTACTTTGATCTGACGTAAGTAAACCCCAGTAGGGCGGCAGAGCAGGAACCCCTAGCAGAACGTGAGGATAAATTCATTTTCTCTCTCTCTCGCCACACAAATCTCTCATTTTCTGTTATCTTCTCATCTGTAGCTTTTCTGCAATAAAACTCTGATGCCAGTTCATAAATCAAGCAGCCTATTGTTTGGAAAATGAAAAAAGATGTCTCAAAAATCTGTGTGCCATTAATGCAGACCAGATGAACGGGCTGCTTTCATGTGAAGAACGTCCTACCCAGCCCCGCTCTCCTCCCTCAGTGTAATAATACACATCAGGACTCGGGGACGCAGAGACAATGAGACAAATTAAGAGGAGAGAGGCACAAATGGAAGTTTTCTGCTGAGTTCAAACTCTCAGGAGGAAAACCCTAAAACACGAGACCAGACGGCGGTAATACCTCTAATGTGGCGCAGGTCAGAGTCTAGACATCAAGATTAAAGTGGCTGAATTAGGTACTCAAACCTCTGCTGCAGACACATTTTGGGTAAAAATCTTCACGTTGAGGCAACACCGATGACGTTTTCAAAGCTGTAAAGATGGCTGACATAAAAAAAATTGTCACGTGTACGTATTTATACTCGCATCAGAAAAGGACTAGCTACTGCTAAACCAAACCACGGTGCATCAGTGGGAGGGGTCAGCAAGAACAAGGACACATCAAATACAACGGAATAGCTTTCTGTTTCAAACGCTTCCTGACACTAACCCAGTGGGTAACATTACAGCATGTGACCAACGTTCAGCATCAGCGGAGCTGAGATGAAGTTAGTCGGATGTGGAAAACGGTAACAGCATTCAGTCACATGGACAGCACCTGCAATACAAGCTGCTGCCTCCTTGAGCCAAGAGGAGTCACATGATTCAATAAAAATGTACGATTGAAAAAATATCAGCTCTGGAATGTCGGACCTAACTTCCACCCCTTCTGTTGAAGCACAGAGCCATGCCGTCACATTTAAACCAGTATCTGCAGCTGTGACTGATGGAAACTGACAGGAGACACAGAGTTTTGGTCAAATGTGCAAACGTCCAGTCAGACTTCTTCTGCTGAGTCTTGGAGATTAAATGAATAAGGTGTCCAGGTGGGCTCCAGACACTCACTAGGGTGCTTTTGAAAAACCGGCGACACAGGAGACTCTGAGATACTGGTTTAATTAGGGGGAAAACCACTACCATGTGGCAGGTGGACACGTGGTCCCCTGGACACTCCTCATTCTGCACAGGACCAGTGTTAGGAGTAATGCGTTACAAAAAAAAATGAGTTACAGAAATATTTTCCCTTTGAAAATGGTTTGCGTGAGTAAATACCAAATAGCTCCTAAATACTGCTGCAGACAAGATCAAGCTGGATACTGTTGAAGGATAGCTTATTGTTCACAAGGGCTTTCCATAAATAAGGGTCCTGGAAACAGCAGAGAATGTTTCCACTAGCAGAAGCTAACCATTAGCATTAGCGACTCCACCAAACAGTAGAACTCCTCCAGACTTGTGTTATTTGTGAAGGTAAAACAACGAAGTTGCAAAGCAAACAGGGTCAGTGATAGTCATAATGCTGTTAGCCAATCAGAGGCAAGATGTCCAAATATCAGGAAATAAGTCCAGAACCTGCGTCTGAAACCCAGTCTTTATGTTGCTCACTTTCTTAGCAAATTAGGAAAATTGTTTTTGATGAAACGCTTCAGTTACACATCGTACGATCACCAAGCAGATGCAAAAGTATACAGGTGACCTGACGGAAAATAGAAAATACAGTAGTGTGTTTTTTCCACTCTAGTGTAACGTGCGACTCGGTCAGTTATAATATTTTAGATTTAAAAAATGTTTTACATGGACATTTTGCCAAAAGTAACTCAAAGTATTGTAACTTAGTTACATTTTTAGATAGTAACATCTTTTACTAACGCATAGTTATTACATACCTGTAACTAGTATTTTCAAATGTATTATAGTTTAAAGTAACTTTTCTGGAAATGAGAGTTTATGTTTATGTATTTAGCAGACGCCTTTGTCCAAAGCGACTTACAAGTGATATTCAGCATGTTGTCCTTGAGTCTAACAACAAAAACAACAACAACAAGCAATTTCCAGTCAGTCGTAGGTAACGTTGGGTACAGAATTGGGTACTTTTTAAGGTACCGACCGAATTCCATAGTACCGACTGATCACCAATTCACGTCATTTGAAACGGTCCCTCGTTTCGGTACCCGTCCTACACAACGAGAATTTTCCAAGACAGCTGCGCATGCGCAAGAGCGTTATGTCGTCGGCCGCTGCGAGCCAGTTGTAAACAGAGCAGCATGGTAGAAAGAACGCACGCTAAAGCTTGGGTCCACTTCACTAAATGTGATGGATAACTGGGTGATGATGAAACCAGTGACAACGATCTAAGTGAGACATCCTCATCTTAATCTGCTCCGGTAGGTAAATAAAATGTTTAAGATAACGTTAGCTTGATATGTTAGCTTCCATTGCCACCATTGTTAACAGCAAATGGGGCGTTCGCTTTCTCCTCGGAAATTCTAACTTCCCAGTAGGAAAAATCAAATGAAAAAGGATGGTAAAAGGAATGAAGATACACAGTAAATTTAGTTCACAGTAAAGATGTTTGCTTCAGTTTAATTATCAGCTTATAAAACTACAAGAATGATGTTAAAATGCAAACAGTTGTATGTTATTTATCATGATATTTATCAAATATGGTTATATATTGAGAACAACATTTATTTAATTATAAAAGAGAATTAAAATATTAAACACTCAAAAGTATCTAAAATTGGTACCGTTAAGTACCAGTATCGATTCCTAGGTACCGAGAATTAGTACTGAATCGATTCAAATGTCAAAGGTACCCATCCCTAGTCACTGGCAGTGAGGCAGCATGATGAATCATGGAGAGTAGGGAACAAGGAGTGGACAGTAGAGAGGGGGGACGGGTGCAGGGAGGGTGCTAGAAGGCTGCTCTCTGAAGAGCAGGGTCTTCAGCAGTTTCTTGAAAATTGAAAAGGAAGCCCCTGCTCTGGTAGTGCTTGGTAGGTCATTCCACATGTGTGGAACGATGCATGAGAAGAGTCTGGATTGTCCTGAGCGTGGTGTAGGCACTGCTAGCTGACGATCCTGTGATGACCGGGGAGTGGCCGGGCTGAACTGGATACTAAAATGTTAAGTGTGTTTCTAATTACTCCTAACTGTGTTAGTTTGGTGATTTTCTCACAAAGACCCTATGTGGACATTAGAAGCTGGAATGAAAAACAGTAAATATAAAGGATGTAACAGATGGAGGAAGTGCAGAAAACACTGTGACGGCTTTTTCATGTACCTGTTTCGACCCGAGTCCCGGAAACCTTTGGCAAAAGGGTTACGATCGATCTTTAATCTGGTAATCTGCAGAGAAAAACAGAATTTTTTTTCTTACTTTTGTTTTTGCTTATGAATCCAGTGTTTGTGTGTGCACTGAATCAGCTGTTTACCTGCTGGTTCTGGTAAGCCGTGACGGTGGTGAAGACGGTCTCAGGAAAGCTGAAGGTCTTCACCCCGTTCCCACTTGGGACTGGTTTGTTGGGGGAGAGCTCGCTGCTGAAGTCCTTCCTGATGATGTGAACACGAGGCTGGTACTTGTGCATGGAGTGGAGGATGATCTGCATGCATCAAGGAGAAGAACAGTTATTGTTCTTGTGGGTTCAGGAGGGAATTCTAGACCAAACTAAGACACAGAACTTCCTACGTTCTCCACAGTGAGATTGAAGCGTCGCAACAAGAACTGTAGGAGCAGAGGCGTCAGACGGTGTCGGCCCCCGACTCGCCTCAGGCCTCGGTCTGCTCCTGATTAATCTGAGGGTGAGTAAACCTCCCCAGAGCCAAACACCCCCAACACTCTCCAACAACAGAGAAGGTCATTTCAAAGCAGGGCTGCAGGAGAGGGAAACACCTCTGAATATCAAACACATGACACGGCAACGTCCCAGACCGCTAATCACTCACACACACACACATCTCTTCTCTCAGACATGATGCATTCATTTCAGTCTGCAGACCCTGTTTTCTTAAACTCTTCTCCATCTGTGCAGTTGTTGTTGTTTTGTGGTCATTTGCCCTGAGATCACCTGTAAATTAAAGGTGTGCGGGTCATGATGCGGGCCTTTTCACTCGTTTCACAAATTTATTCCTAAAGTAAGAAACGTCTCCTGAATTTACGTCTCGACTTTGGCTTAATACCATGAAAGGCATGAAGCATCCCTTAGAATCAACAAAACAGCACTGAGAATGGAGATGTAGGGTGTACTCCAGGATCAGGCCTGTTTTAGGTCTGTTCCAGGGCTATCTTCACCAGGTTAATGGAACATTTCAGCCATTTCAAAGTATGTTTATTTGTAAAAGTTAACAATATTTACTATCTTGCTTTTCTAAGCATCCCGACTGGCCTCTGTAAATAAAAGAGAGTTTACACCTTGGTCTTGGCTGTTAGCCGTTAGCTCATCTTGTTCTCTGAGCAGAAGCCATTCAGGATGCTTTTAACATGTAAGGTAGTAAATCTTATTCTACACAGAAAAATATTTCAGAACATCCCTTTAAATTAAATGTGTTCATGTGGGTTTTTGATTACTTACAAAATAAATGTATTTTTTATTGATTTTATTTTTATTATGTAAAAAGTACATATTATGTAAAACTCACATTTTGCATCTTTTGTACTACCATGTGTGTCTCCTCTGCCTCTATAAACACTCAAAAAGTGGAAAAAAACACATCCATCCATTTTCTGTCATTGGAATTATGCGCCTAAAACAAACTGTTTAAAAAATCCCCATTCGTGACATCACAAACAGGGAAAGTAAAAAAGCACCACTTCCAAGAAAAAGCTAATGCTGGTGGAACTTCTCAACTTATTGACCCTTTGCACCGACGTCACCTAATCGAATCCGAAAACCGAACGCGTTAATTGAAAGATCGTTGGTGAATCCGTTCTTTTTTTTTCATGAACGTGAACTGAACTCGTTCGCATTTTGCCTGACAAACGTAAAAGTGAGTGTGTTCGTCCTGGCGTGCGTGAACGGGTTTGAGAACGCATTCTTTCGCCGTTCTAGCTCCAGATCTCCACGGAGCTAAAGCCTAGCTAAAACTTCCTGTTAACCAGAGTTTATAAAAAGTAGAACCCGCAAAAGTGGCCAAACATAGGCAGTAGCGGTTGGCGCGGCGTCTACTCTTCTACGTCTATGCTGTGTGCAGGAGTCAAAGTTCATTCAGAAAATTTGAAAAGGGGCTTAACTGACAGATTATACATTTTTAATGTTTTGCACTTTTAATATGTTTAGTTTGCTACCTCAGCCTCACATATATATATATATATATATATATATATATATATATATATATATATATATGAGAAAAAAGAACTGTGAACTAGTTCGTTTGTGGAACAGTAAACTTAGCTAATTTTTTTTCTTAATTGTGAACTAAGAAACGAACTAGTTCATTTTAAAATGTATGAGCTGAACTTTGAACTAGTTTGTTTTTTAAATGAACTTTCCCAACACTGATTATGGCAATATTACTCTCAAGCGAGGCGGAACGAATGCCGCAAATTTTGAGCAATGCCATGCTGGCATGGCGCGTTTATAAGACACACCGTTGCGGTAATATTACGCCAATTTGCCGGCATGGTGTGTCTTGTAAAAAGGGCTTGAAAGGTGGAAGAGTGAGAAGGGCCAGCTCCAGCTTGTTTTCCTGAAGTGGCACAGCTCTGAAATGACTTATTCTGGAAGGTACTAAAAATGTCAAATAGCGCTGCTGAGATTGCTTTGTGTCAGAGGGATATTTAAACTTCCCAACCGTGTTTTGTATGAACCATAGAAGGTCCTCTTTAAACTGCTGCCTCCTGACAACAGTGTGCGTAAAGGTAACTAGCATGAAGGCAATAAAAGATTAAATATTTTCTTTTATTTCTCAATATAGATTTAATAACACACTTTGAAGCACATGAATACTTGATCACCCAGAAGGTTCCTGTACTTATTCAGCTGGAGGTGGAGTCAGATGATGATATAATCTGGAAGGATTCATGGAGCAGCCAGAGGACAGAGGCTGTTTCTGATAAAGACCTTAATTAGATTTTTCATGCTTAGTAACAATGACTGGAAAACTTTTGGGCTTTCACACCAGAGGTAAAAACCGTCTGATGACCTTAAAAGATCAGCAATCCCATCGTTGAATAGTTGTGGTTGGAAGCTTTTTGTTGTGGTGAACAAAAATGCAGAAGAAGACGAGTCTTTAGGAAAAAACTAAGTATTCAAGAGTAAGTCCTGTAAAACAGTTTGTGTGAGGCTTTACAAGGTTTGGCCCGGCAGCGCTGGTACAGGGGGGGGTAACGCATCATTAGGAACAAAACGACGCTGTAAGAATCAATTCTGACTGCTTCTGACAGGAAGTGGGCGAAAAAAACGGCAGCTCTACCTGCGAGGTTGAAAAAATAAAATACATCTTAAGATGCTGTTTGGGGAGTTTAGTTGCTTTTTGCACCATTTTAGATCTTTATCTGAGAAAAACAAAAAGATATATATATATATATATATTGTAAGTAATCACCTTTTGTGTGACTCTACTGTATTATTGAAACCACATCAGAGCCGAATTGCAGCAGCTACACAGGCCGACCCCTTAACGGCTCTGTATCTGCTCAAGGGAACAGAACAAGCTCTGCTAAGTTGATTGTGTGAAGTTGTATGTTGCATTGGGTTCAAATTATTCACTTTGTTTATTTATTTTCACATTATTGTTTATTGCTTGTGTCATTTTGAAGGTATAGCTGATGAATCTCTTCACAAAATCACAAACAGGGACAAAGTTAGGCAAAGCGCTGCTCTGGACATGGATAGCTGAGGATTTTTCCTGCTGTGATGTCTGATGATTCTTGACATTTACAGCATGCTGTCTGTTTCTGATGTGGCAGATATACCATGAAGTCACGAGGGTTCACCAGGAAAACAAAGCAGAAGAGGAAAGAAGCTCCCCACAAACACCCACATGTGATGGGTTCTATTTGTTACACTGGGTTGATGATCTGCAGAACAGCGATGCAGCAGGAACCTCCCAGGAAGATCCTGCCATCTTAGAATATGCCCGTGACATCAGGGAAGATGGAATAAACTGGTCATTCAGGTAGTCAGCTGACCTCATTCTTGGAGCACATCCTGTTGCTGAACCTAGACCTGACCACCTGCAGCAAGCCCAGATCACAGCACTGCCCCCACCGGCTTGTACAGTAGGCACTAGGCATGATGGGTGCATCACTTCATCTGCCTCTCTTCTTACCCTGATGCACCATCACTCTGGAACAGGGTCCATGTGGACTCATCAGACCACATGACCTTCTTCCATTGCTCTAGAGTCCAGTCTTTATGCTCGCTAGCAAACGGAAGCCTCACGAAAGTAGGGAGAGCAGCTTAAGGTGTGCTACAGCCCTCTCCAGATTTCTGCTTTAACAAATGGATGATTTCTAATGATGCCATAAAAGTGGTCCCCATCTTGATTCAAGATGGCCACCACAGCTGATCAGCATTGGCTAGCTCAGACTCCAGCAGCTAACAGCAGTGTTGGGCAAGTTACTTCAAAACTGTAATGCATTATTTATTACTTGTTACCCTCATTTTAAAGTAATTCATTACATTATAATATTACTGATTTTAAAAGGTAAGGCATTACACTACTTTTGCATTACTTTAAGTTACTTTCACCAATACAACTTCAATATGAATCTGGTAATGTGACGCTCAGTGAGCTCATGACATATATGTGGAAGGTGATGTGGTGTCTGAGCTAGGGTTGCTGTTAAAAACAGTCAGATATAATAACAGTGCTTTAAAATGATTGTTTATTAAATAAAAGCAACAACAATCTGTACTCTCAGCACGCTGCCATCTTATATTAAGTGAGCAGGGAGTAAGGTGGTGGGGGCTCCAAGCCTACATTTGCCTCGGTCCCCAAATGCCTTGATACGGCCCTGGATGTGGGACTGACTTCTGGGGTGATCTGATTCTGTCACATGTATAAATATTAAATGCTTATATATTATTGCTTTTCACTGGTAAAAATGTGTATTGGGGATAAAATTATTTTCAAGCACTTTGTTTTGTTTTGTTGATTTTATTTGAACAATTTCCTGCCCTTTCTCTCTCTGACCTTCCTGCATGCTGCATGTTTTCAGTCTTCCAGAAAAACTGTTTCCTAGATTTCCTACTTTCTAACTAATCAGCCAAAGGGATCTACCAAACGCAAAAAAATAAAAGCTTCATATGCTCTGCGCTCCAGCAGCAATGAGTTGAAATCACCGGGGCACAGATTATGAACTCAGCTGAAAAGAAACATGAAGTACCAGAGAATATGGGCTGATGTAAACGATCGCAAACAAATTACTTTGTTTTGGTGGAGCCATTTTGTGAATATAACAGCGGCCGCGCGCAGGATGCAGCTGGAGTATTTGAGCCGTTGCCGCTGCGTCCTCTCTGCTCATAGAATGCCCGCAAAGCTGAGTCCATAAATGACGTCATATATGTGGATACTGGATCTTTTTTCAGGCTTCCCGCAATTAAAATTTTTAGGAAACCCACATCTTGATTCTGGGTCTAAAAATGCATTGTAATTACAGCACTACTGACAATTGTACCGAGTAAATACTACAATTTTTTTCCCTGTAATGCCTTACATTACCACATTACAGCAAAAAGCAGTGCATTACAGCAATTAATTACATTTGTACCGCGTTACTCCCAACACTGGCTAACAGTCAGTCCCATCACTGACAGATTCCACAGCAAGTTACGTTCAAATATTTGACCCAAACAACAGCAGCATCCACCATCTCAGGCAGGTGGTTTAAACGGCTTAACGACTTTAATTAAAGGAAAGTCTCGAATAAAACTGAGGCTGACATCTGAAGGGCTGTAAATCAAACCAACAAGGGCTTCATCTGTTGTTTTACAGGTAAATGTGGTGCCTAGTTACACATGTAGAAGAGCTTATTCCAGACGATCACTTCTCTAACTGTAAACCAGTCCCACTGGGGTCAGGCTTCAAGATCAGCTCAGCTGTCTGATGTTAGCATAGAACAAACTCATTTCACTCAGCCTTCTGCAAAACTGCTTCACAGCAAAATGCAGGGAACAAAAGAAATCTAATGTATGAAAACAAGCATGCTGGTTCAAATCCCAGACTTCTCATATATTCCCTGCATATTCAGTCAACGTGGTCTGACTTCAAAAAGAGAGTGTGTGGGAGGGCGGTGTGTGGTACAACAGAGAGAAAACCCATTCTGAACAAGTCCCATGGCTCTGGGAGTCACATGAAGATCCATTTCTACTTATTTAAGCAAATGCCTGAAAAACTTTTCCATTCGAGAACTGCCGCACAGCTCCAGAGGAATTTCATCACCGCAGCAGCTTGAACTGATGTGAAGCTCAAAGGAGGAAAATGGAAATCGCAGCTTGAGCATTTACACGCAAAGTATGTTGGGCAAATTGAAAGATTGCGATGTATTGTGCAGATTTAGCAGTAACGGGTTCAAGTAAAAATATGCAAAATACTTGTTTGGAAAGTGAAATGACTCAGATTAAGCCTTTCACACAGACTCACTGGGCTTCCTTTGATGTTCTGATTTAGAATATAGATGATGTATGATGTGTTTGGAGGGTTCACTTAAAAAACAGACAATCTGTTTTTATTCATTTTCAAATGATGCATCTTATTAATAACTTTAGGTGATAACAGTCAAAATAAAGTTGTTGGTTTGGATCAAAAAGGCCTTTTAGCTGGTTTTACAAATGAACGCTTCATATTTTTTCTTCGTGTCAGAAACATTGTTCAAATAAAGTTTTATTAAACAAACTGGGTCTACTTGGTGGGGATAGACTGATATGTCAGTCAACCACTACATCAGGGGCGGCGTTAGGCCCAGCTACTTGGGCTCAAGCCCCGAGTGTTTTATGATAAGCCCCGGATCTAAAACGTGGAGGTAAACGTGGGTTATCACTGGTTTTGGTTCTTGTCTTTCTGGGTTTCTGGTTCTTTGCTTTGGTTGTTTGTTTTCTTTCTGTTGTTGTTTGTTGTTTTCCTTTGTTTATCGCCCATGTCGGGTATCCGCAGGTCTTTAAAGCATGTTGTATGTGTTTGTCCTCTTGTTTACGGACTCTTTCTTCTGTTACCATGTTTGCTCGGTGATATAATGTTCTGATTACTGACATTTTGTGTATGGTGGGGTGTTCTGATGTCCATAATAGATATTGGTCTGTGTGTGTTGGTTTCCTGTATGTGTTTATGTTTAGGGTCCCGTCGGTCTGCCTGGTTATTTTCATGTCCATAAATGCTATGCTGCCTTCTGTTTCTGACTAATAAGTGAACTTTATGTTGCCTGTGTCGTCAACGTTATTCAAGTGTTGTGTTAGTGTTTCTGTTTGTCCTTTTGGTATGATTTCCAGTATGACGTCTACGTAGCGTTTCCATAATTTTATTTTGCAGTTTGGGGGGGGCAGTGGCTATGGCTTTTTGCTCTAGGTCTTCCATGAAAAACTCGCACAGGGTGGCTGATAACGGGTTACCCATGGTGAAGCCTTCCAGTTGTTTGTATATTGTGTTGTCATATGTGAAGTAAGTGGAGTTAGCTACCAGTCCTATCAGTTGTGCTATGTCGTCTGCTGTGAGGTTTGTTCTTTTGTGTAAAGTCTTGTCCTGTCTGATTCTGTTAACTACTATGTGTAACACTTTGGAAGCGCTAATGAATTAAGTTAAATGAAGTATGGCTAGTGTATACTGACTTTATCAGAACCCAGGAACAACTGCTGGAGCTGGTTGTCAATAATTAAAGAATACACAACACGTTGGAATAGTTTGCAAAGACAATATATTGAATAATTATAAATAAAACAAACAAACACAAATTAACAGGTCCCACTGCTGCAGCACTGATAAATAAGTTAAAGTGCACTTTGAAAGTTATAGTTCTAGTGAAAGTTCTAGAGGAACACTCTGACTTCGGTCTGATCTCCTGAATAGTTAACACTTGTTTGCAGGACTTGAAGACCCAATGGATTCACACCGAATCAATTGTCCAGGATGTGATCCGAGTGTGCATGAAAATTATCCAAGTGCTTTGTCAAAGAGTACTGAAGAGGGAGGTGTGTGAATCCAAGAATTGAGTAAGGAGTTGGGGGTGGACTGAACGCTGTCTGAGACAACTTCCTACCAGACCAGTAGGAAGATGAAGGAGAGGTCTTCTGGCCCCTGGCCAATCGTTAGCTCGCCATCCTTAAACCCTTAAAGGGTCACCTGGCCAATTCCAGCTTCTGTATGGTGTATGATGACCCTACAAGTCTCCAGCTCACAGTAGTCGGTGTCTGCAACAGCTCTGTCACTTGGCTTTCCCCCACATGTCTGCAGGGAGGAAGCCAGTGCAGGCCTTTGATCATGTGATCAACGTCACATGACTTAGGCATGGTGCATTAATGACAGAAGAGTGCAGGAATTCACCGTAACTTGGTAAAACACTGGGCTACATATGCCTATGGTTTTTTGGGTTGGTGCTTTTGGAGTGAGAGTGGGCAGCAGAGGGCGACAACGTCCTCTGCTGCCCACGGATAAACAAAGGAAGTGACGCCACCATCGGCGTCAGCCTGATGATGTTGCAGCCACAAATGAAATGTTGCAGGTAATTAAACCTTTTCTGAAAGATGGAATTTGGTCAATCTCAACTTCCTATATCCCCTACATTTGCCCAAACATCCATCCATCCATTTTCTGAGCCCGTGCGTCCATGTCGGGGGTGGGGGTGGGGGGTTTGGTGCCTATCTCCAGCGTTCAATGGGCAATCAGGCGGGGTACACCCTGGACAGAGCCAGTCCATCGCAGGGCAACACAGAGACACAAAGGACAAACAACCATGCACACACACACACTCACAACTAAGGACAATTTAGACAGACCAACAGACTAACAGTCATGTTTTTGGACTGTGGGAGGAAGCCGGAGGACACGGAGAGAACCCACGCATGCACAGGGAGAACATGCTAACTCCATGCAGAAAGAATCTAGCCGGGAAGCGAACCCAGGACCTTCTAGCTACAAGGCAACAGCTCTAACCACTGCTCCACTAAGCAGCCTCTTTGTCCAAACATTTACATGAAATCTCAAAATAGTCCCAGATGCCTGGTACCTTGAGGGTAAACTGTGACTAAAGGTTATGATCTGTAGAAGTGAGAAACCCACATGGGTTGACTTACATGACCCTGGTCGTCCAGCTCATTGTTGGTAAGTTTGAGCTTATCGAAGCTGACCACCTGCCTCATCCAGGTGTCTCCTGAAGCCAAAGAGTCTGGGTGGATGTAAACCCGAGGGGGCACCGGGGAGTCTGCATTTCCTGCCACCATCCACTTGGAGCTGTGATACACATACCTGTAATGAAATACCACAGTTAGAACGGACACACTGATCAAATTTAACACATGTTTAAATAATTCTGATTCCAAAATAACAGTGGTTCTGTGTTTGTCCTCTTTGATTTAAATGCCTTTTCATTATATTCTACAGCAACGCTTGCATTGTAACACTTTAAAGGTGTTGAACACTTGCTTGATCAAAACATCTGCAGTGGTCTCTAGCAGGAATGAATGGCTTGGAAGTCGTATGTGTGGCCGGGGGGGGGGGGGGGGGGGGGGGTCTGGTATACTCTTTTCAGGAACTAGAAGTGACCCACATCACAGCTGAGCTTCGAACGGCAAGGTTCGGAGTCGTATTTCCTGATACTTGGACATCTCGCCTTGGATTGGATAACAGCAACGTAACTCTTCCACTGACTTGCAACACGGACGTTTTATCTCCACAAACAACACAAGCCTGGAGTTGCTTCTGCCGTGTGGAGGAGTTGCTAATGCTACAAATCAGCTTCCCCCTCATGCAATGGCGGTTTTAAGCAGGGGCCTACACTGGAGCCATTACCCCTGTAGAACCAGCCCTGGCCTCTGTTACAGCCCATGTGTTACAGAGATAGGATGTTTATTAATTTATTTTTTTGCCACTGCCTTGGAGAAAGGAACTAGCCATAACAGATCATGGGATTCTGGGTGAATAAAGAAAAGTAAAATAACAATTATGATAATACTGATAAATAACATATAGTAAAGAAAGACACAATAAAGTGAAAGAGAAATGAAAACAATTAGATAATGCCCTTTTTTGCCCCTCTGTGGCCTGCTTACAAAATTTGGCCTAGAACCACCCCTGCCATTGTGAGTCAAGATGGGTGAGTCCATGAATGCCAGTTTTCAGTGTGACGTAGATCTGTCAGGCTTTTCTAGTCCGAGTTTCACCATCTAATTTCTATCAGAGGCTAATGCAGGAGATAGGTATAGGTGACTATTTTCATGTTCTAACCAAGGAGATGGTAGTGGACTTCAGAAGGAACCGGTGCCCCCCCCCCCCCCCCCAACCCCACCCCACCGCCACCCCCCCACCCCCCACCCCTGTACATTGGAGGAGTAGCTGTGGAAGCAGTCTCCTGCTATAGGTACCTGGGTGTGCATATCACTGAGGACCTCACATGGAGCACCAACACTTCCTAGCTCATCAGGAAAGCTCACCTGCCTCTGAGGTAAGATGGCGAAGATGGCGGCGCACAGTCATGCAGCGGCTTCTCAAGCTCCCGGAACTAAGCCTTACTTTTTAACAAATCTGAGGCCGTTGCTGGTGCTGGTTCTGTGATGGATCTGCGTGTGATGTACAGCTCGGTCGAAATCATCGATTTCGGAAAAAGCACGACCACCACAATATCCCACAACTTAAAATCAATGCTTGGAAGACTGCAGCTTCTGAGAACTGCAGAGTGGTGTAGCAGAGTGCGAGGAGCAGCAGGCAAGAGGAAACGATGTGCCCGGAAACAGAAGAGGGCAAAACGGGCAAGCGTGCAGGCCCATTTAATGGCTAAGAAGCCACCGGTTCCTACCTTGTTCCTGGCAAATGTCCATTCCCCTGGACAGTAAGATGGATCTGTTACGCCTGAGACTGAGTGTTTACATGGAGATGAAGCGCTGTGCTGTTCTTTGTCTCACTGAAACCTGGCTATATAACAACATGCCGTATTCAGCCTTTCAGATCGATGGCTTCCAGCTGTTCAAAAGCGGACAGCGACCACAGGTCAGGGAAAAACAAGAGGAGGTGGACTGTGTGCTTACGTGAATGAAGGTTGGTGTACAAACTGTGTGCTGGTGAAAAGCTACTGCTCCGAGGCAATAGAACTAATGACGGTAAAATGCCGACCACACTATTTGCCAAGAGAGTTTACAGCAGTGTTCGTCACCACTGTTTACATCCCACTGGGTGCTAATGCTAGCGCTAATGCTAGGATAGCGCAACAGGAGCTAAATGACGCCATTAGCTTGCTACCGTCAAAGCACCTGAGGCGTTTTATGTGGTTGCAGGAGACTTTAATCACGTGAAGCTGACGGACATTCTGCCAAGTTTTTACCAGCATGTCACCATTTCTACTCGAGGAGACAACACGCTGGACTGTGTATACGCTAACATCCGTGGCGCATACAGATTTCTTCCTCGCCCCCAACTTGGCCTCTCTGACCACGTCTCCCTCCTGCTGGCGCCCACATATCGCCCTCTGCTGAAAAGGATTGGGCCAATAAAGAAGACTGTCATTGTGTGGCCCACTGATGCAGCATCTGTGCTCCAGGACTGCTTCCTTTGCACATATTGGCAGGTATTCAGACAAGCGGCAACAAAAGAGGGAGAGGTGGACCTAGAGGAATACACCTCCTTGGTACTTGGATTCATCTCCAAGTGTACTGAGAATGTCACCATTACCAATACAATAACATGCTACCCTAATCAGAAACCCTGGCTGAATTATGAGGTGAGAGGTCTGCTGAAAGCCAGGGATGCCTTATTCAGGGCAGGTGAGACATCAGCACTGAGAGTGGCAAGGAAAGAACTGGCAGTAGGCATAGCAAGAGCTAAAGCCACATATGCTCAGAAAATCCAGGGGCATTTCTCCTCCAATGACACCCGGAGCATGTGGAAGGGAATAAAGTGCATCGCAGACTATAATACCAAAGATGCACAATGCCCGAATGACCCGTCTCTGCCAAATACACTCAATAGGTTCTACGCCTGCTCTGAGGACCCTGACACCCCCCCTCACTCTATCAGTCTCACTCCATTACCTGGTGATACGCCCCTTAGTGTGTCTACAGGTGACGCAATTAAAACCCTCAAAGGAATTAACCCCCGCAAAGCTGCTGGCCCTGATAACATCCCTGGGCGAGTACTGAGGGACTGTGCACACCCAGCTGTCTGGGGTGCTGGCAGACCATTTTACCACCTCACTGTATCTGGCATCCGTCCCCACCTGCCTAAAGACTGCCACTATTGTTCCGGTCCCAAAGTGCTCAACAGTGAAATGCCTCAATGACTACAGGTCCATAGCTCTTACCCCCGTAGTCATGAAGTGCTTTGAGAGGTTGGTTATGGCTCTCATCAAAGACTCCATCGAAGTCACTGTGGACCCTCACCAGTACACTTACAAGAAAAACCGGACCACTGATGATGCCATCTCATCAGTGGTCCACACAGCTCTCACTCACTTAGAGAGCAGGAACTCATACGTCCGTCTGCTTTTCTTGGATTTTTCCTCTGCCTTCAACACCATCATCCCACGGACTCTGGTACAGAAACTCTCCACTCTTGGACTGAGCCCCATAATGGGGAACTGGGTGCTGGACTTTTTGACTGACAGACCCCAGACTGTCAGGATCCACAACACAATCTCCTCTTCCATCACTTTCAGCATAGGCACACCCCAAGACTATGTGCTGAGCCTCCTCCTGTTCACTCTGCTTACATATGACTGCTCGGCGAGACATCCCAGCTGCCATACCGTGATGTTTGCAAATGACACAACAGTAGTAGGATGCATCACTGACAACGATGAGTCAGAGTACAGAGAGGAGGGTGGAACATCTGGTGCAGTGGTGCGGAGAAAATAATCTCTGCATCAATGTGAAGAAAACCAAGGAGATGGTGGTGGACTTCAGAAGTAACCGCTGCCCCCTCCCCCCCCCCCCCCCCCCCCCCCCCCCCCCCCGTACATTGGAGGAGTAGCTGTGGAAGTATTCTCCTGCTATAGGTACCTGGGTGTGCATATCACTGAGGACCTTACATGGAGCACCAACACTTCCTGACTCGTCAGGAAAGCTCACCAGCATCTCTACTTCCTCAGGAAGCTGTTGTGAGCTGGACTTGGGAGCTCAGTCCTGAAGCACTTTTACCATGGTGCAGTAGAGTGTCATGTGCACCTGCATCACTGTGTGACACAGTAGCTGCACTGTCACTGAGAGGAAAGCTCTGCAGAGAGTGGTCAGGGCTGCCCAGAGGCTTGTGGGAAGCGGCCTCCCCGAAATCACAGACATCTACACAACATGGTGTAGGGGTAGGGCCCTCAACATCATGAAGGACTCCACACACCCTGCACATGGACTCTTCCAATCCCTCCCCTCAGGCAGGAGGTTGAGGAGCATCCGGAGCAGGATCACCAGCTTCTTCCCTGAAGCTGTCATACTGTTGAACTCTGGCCATGCTTGGTAGAGCCCCCCCCACCCCACCCCACACACACACACACACACACACACACACACACACACACACACACACACACATACACATACACACATTGGTACTGAGAGCACCTTTAGAGTGGACTAATGTCACTCGCACACACACACATTTATCATATTTAGTTGTCTATTGAATACTGTACATGCCAAGCTCAGTACTAGTATTTATCCTTAGTGCTTTTTGCTCTTTTCCTATGGCTCTATGTCAGGTCCTGAGTTCAAATTTCATATCACAGGCATGTAAATGTGAACTGGTATGACAATAAAAGTTTCTTAATCTTAATCTTAATCTTAATCTTACATGCCTGAAAATCTCAGAGTGATCAATTATACTCAGAAGTCATCATTAAAAAATTGTTTTTCAGTGTCCCACACTATTAGCCTAGTGAACTAGACCAAATTCTTGCTTTGGCAAAGAATGGTCTAGGCACGCTCCATTGGAACCTCAGCAGCTCCTACCAGGACTCTGGCTAGCCAATCACAGCTCTCTAGAGGGGTTTCAAAAACATTAAGAGCTGTGATTGGTCCATAATGGTGGGCCAATCATAGGGCTCTATCTGCTTAGTGAACAAATCACAGAGCTTTATCCGCTTTGTGGGCCAATCAGGGCACTCTATATGCCTGGTGGGTGGGATGATGCAACAGAGTGAAACAAGAGTATGTCACATTCATTGTCCAGTAGCATGCAGAGATCATTTGAAAGACAACGGTAGAACCCGCCCCACAACCGAGAGCCGTCAATGGAGCGTTGCCAGACTAAATAATACATTTATTTAG